TCCACCCTCAGGGTGGGGGGATTTGAACCAGTACAGAAAATCTATAAAGAAAAAGATAAAGAGAAAGTTAATGCTCAGCCCATAACATCCTTAGTGGAATGTTTTATGTATGAAAAGATAAAAGATTTTAAAATTTAAGTTTATTAAGAGAAATAATGTTTTCATCATCCCTTCCTTCCCCCCTTTTATATCACAAAGCAAGTGGATGTAGAACATGGGTTTTTTCATGGACTAGAGAAGATATCCATTCCACCTATTATCTAGGCCATGATTTTTTTCTTACATTAGCTTTATTTTTAAATAATTTTTTGTTTACGGAAAAGTTACATAGATAGCAGAGTTCTCGTATACCCTTCACTCAGCTTTGCCTAATGTTTATATTTTCTATAATCATGCTATGAAGTTGGAGATTAAAACATTAACATTAGTACAATATTCAGACTGTATTCTGATATGCCAGTTTTTCTACTGTCCTTTTCTTTTCAGCGCAACTTATGAAACCACATTAAACTTAGCGCATTAATGTCCTCCAAGTTGTGATTGTTTCTTGTTCTCTTTTCGCCTTTCAGGACCTTAACTGTTCTGAGGAGTTGGTTAGGTATTTTACAGAGTGTCCCTCAATTTCAGTTTGTCTAATGTTTTTTCATGATTAGACTATCCTTACAGCTTTGGTGGAAGAAAACAAGAGAGGAGATGTTAGATCATGAATGTTTATCCTTGATGCATAAGGATAAACTCTGGAGGAAATAAGAAGCTTCTTTTTCTGGATCCCAGAGATGGCAGGGAGAGAAAAGAGACAGAAATAGGGCAAGTAAATAAGATGATCTTAGGGTTTTAGTTTTTATTCTCTTCTCAATACACACCTTTTTGGGGCTGACCCTTGTGGGAAGGGCAGCTTAGTTCCAGCTAGATAGATATAGGGTTATCACAGGTCATTGGGTTAGTGGCTCCCTTTCCCAGATGAAGGCTCTGGGAAGTTGTGTGCTGGTAAATGTTTAACAACTGGCTGGGAGGCGGGAGGTAAGGGAAGGTGAAACACTGATTTGTTGTATTTGCCAATTTCCATGATGTAAATAATCCTAACATGGCTGATTTCAAGCTACCCAAGTGATGTCACTGAATGCAGAGTTGGGAAGCACTGTGTGGCAGTATACCAGCAAATACCATTACATAGTATTTCTACCATACGCGTATAATAGGCATAGATAGTAGTAAAGTGTAGAACAATAAAGAGGAAGTGATAAGTTGGGGGGCATTGTCTTTATTTTTAATATAATTTATTTGGTTATAAGTGTATAATATTTAATTTTCAACAATGGCTGCATTTAAAAACTGGCTCACAAAATCCCTGAAAATTTAACAATCAGCTAAAGTATAAGCAGCCTCCAGCATTCCACTGCTTCTACAAGACTGACCATTTGGCTCAGCACCACATTCCACATGACTCAGGAGGTACAGAGGTAGCAGCAGAAGGTGGGTAGATATATCGGACTTAGAAAGCATCTGTCTCATCATGGCCTTTGTGTGGGAAGCAGGAGTCACCAGGTTTCCTACTTCCAGTGTTGGTGGACTGGCAGAGGTCTAGGGGAAAAGAGGTGATGGGGCCTTTTTGATGTTAGGGGAAATGTTCAGAACTATGGCAGTAGTGGTAAGGGCCAGCACACAACATCCCAAAAGATCAGTCAGGTTCTAGTGATATTTCAGTGATCCTAATTCCAGGGATAAGACAAATTGAGCCTCTCTATACTAGAAACTATTAATTATTTAGAGGATAGTGCATGATCCAAAAGTGCCACAAGATTATAATAACACTCCACTCATGTACCCAGAACTATACTGGGAATGAGACAGAAGAGGGAGGTAGACTATCTGAGAAAGACTGCGCATTTTCCTATAAGAGACTGTGTCATCTATAACAATGTCACTCAAAGTATGGTCCAGGGGCCAATGCCAGTTCACAAACTGTTCCTGTTCAGGGGTGAGATAAATACAGATGAAAGTTCATATTTAGAAACTTTTATCATAAATTGATATTGCCATGACATCCTAGTTGTGTGATCAGTGGACTGATCTTGTTAAACAGGATATAACCAGTTCAGACTGAATTGGCATGGTGAGTTGCTTCTGGCAAAAGCTGGTCATGCGCAATAGGACTATGTATTTGGTCCATGATTGGAAAAATCAATCAGTTTGAGGAGCATTAATCTAAAATACGTTTTAAATAATCCCTTTTGGATATGAAATAAACTGAACAGTTTGAATCAGAGGTTCTCAAAGTGTGGTCTGTGAACCAAAAATGTCAGCATCACCTGGGAACTCATTAGAAATGCAAATTCTAGGGCTCCACCTTAGAGGTGCTGAATCAGAACCCCTGGGAGCAGACCCAGTAATCTGTGTTTTAACAAGCCCTCCAGGTGAGTGATGCATGTTTGCGTGTCTGATTTTAAGAACTACTGGCTTCAATGTTGAAAGTGAAAGAAGTATGTTCAAGCTAGAGGAGAATGAAACACTATTAACTAAGTGTAAATTATCCCAACCAGACTGCAGAGCTGGAGCCCATGAAGAAGATCAGACCACACAGGAAAAAAGAAAGAAAACTAAACTTTCTTTGCATACTGTAAATGATATGCAAATAGATGAGGTCAAGATTTAGAGTTGAACGGTTTTCGTGGGTGATCATTTTGGATTTTTCTCTACAAGCTTACTATTTGTGACTGCACATCTTTTTTTAGAAGTTTCACTCTTGTTGCCCAGGCTGAAGTGCAATGGCGTGATCTCGGCTCACCACAACCTCCACCTCCCGGGTTCAAGTAATTCTGCCTCAGCCTCCCAAGTAGCTGGGATTACAGGAATGCCCCACTACACCCAGCTAATTTTTTTTGTTGTTGTTGAGGCCTCCCAAGTAGCTGGGATTACAGGAATGCCCCACTACACCCAGCTAATTTTGTATTTTTTTGTTGAGGCCTCCCAAGTAGCTGGGATTACAGGAATGCCCCACTACACCCAGCTAATTTTGTATTTTTTTGTGGAGATGGGGTTTCTCTGTGTTGGTCAGGCTGGTCTCAAACTCTCAACCTCAGGTGATCCACCCACCTCAGCCTCCCAAAGTGCAAGGATTATAGGCATGAGCCACCGTGCCTGGCAGGCTCCACTTTCTAAGTATAACCCACTTCCCACCCCACATCAATCTATAAGTGGTAAAAATAGAGTCACGGTACTAATAACAGGAAAGTATTTCTCTAGCTTTATTCTTACCATACAATTGCTGGCTTTCTTCACATTCCCTACAAATACTACTACTAATAGCTCAGGAGGTCCCCTCGGCTAGTTTGTCTCAGCCATCTTTCTCTCTTTCTGCCTGGGTTGCTCTCCATCCCTAGTACCCTTAGTATATAACCTTCTCCAGAGCTTCTGCTCCTTCCCAGGCAAGGTTGATCTGGTTTTAGCTTAGTATCTGGTCAACCTGGATATTAGCCATATTACAGCCCAGAGGAAATTATTTCTGGTCTCTATTTGGGCTCCATTATTTATTGTGGGATGCCACAGGATCTTTTGAGACAAACTCTAATGTGCACATAAGTCACTTAGGGCTCTTATATATGTGCAGATTCTGATTCAGCAGGTCTAGGATGCCTGAGTATCTGCATTTCTAATAAACACCCAGGTCAATACTATGCTACTAGTTTCTGGACAATATTTTGAGAAGCGTGGTTGAGAGCAGTGATTTTTCTACTTTTATCATGCCTTCTCCCCAGGTCTTTAACACAGGTGAAAGGGCAGAGTCTTAAAGTGACCAATTGTCCTGGTTTGACAGTGCTTGTCCTAAAAATCTTATGTTGTGGGATATCCCTCGCTCTTGGGCAAACCAGGATGACTGGTCATCCTAGCTATCTGGATTGGTCATGCTAGCAATCTGAACAGCTCACCTCCTGCCTCTCCCCTCCATCTCCTTCCCAACTGACCCATGATGCCTCTGTCTTGACTCTTTCCTCCTTAGGATAAATGTTTCCCTTTAGGCTCTTCACTTATTCCTCCATGTAATGTGCTTTCCTTTGGCAGATCTGTATCGACCAGCCTTAAAGACATAGGTGTTTGCAGCCAGTGCTGTTGGCTGAGTACTACTTGGTGTAGTCTTAGCTGCCTACTTTAAACCAGTTTGGAAGGTTCCATTTAATGTTTCCCCAAGTTGGTCAGGACTAAAGTCTTACTGCTCTCTCTGCAGACAGTCTGCTCTCTTTTTTTTTTCACATAAACATTCTCATCCTACCTGGCCTCTGCAGACAAAGTGGGTTTCCCCAGTGCCTGAGAGCAATGCTTGTTCTGCTTTGCCTCTTAGGTAAGTATGGAGATATTACCTGGAAATAGGAAAAACCAAAATCTTCATGTCTGGAGCTTGTGTTTTCCCGGACTTCTAACTGTCCTTTCAGTGCTGAAGACATAGATATTGTAGGTACAACCTCCTGCTTCATCATCCTAGAAACAGGGCTGTGATTATGTCCACCCACAGTCGAAAATCTTCACTAGCACTAAACTTACAGCAAAATAATTTCCAAACTCCCCACCTCAATACAAAGTCATGATTCTCAAGACTCTGCTATGCATCAGAATTACCTAGAGAGAAACAGATTGCTGGGTCCCACCCTGAGTTTCAGATTCATAATTCTTTTTGCATTTCTAACAAGTTATCAGGTGGCACTGACACTGCTGGTCCACAGATCACACCGTGAGAACCACTGACCCATTCCAGCTAGCCACATTCACATTCCTAACACCCAGTTCTAGTTCATACTTCCTAAGAGAACCCCTCATTCTCATATTGCTCATATTGTGTGCTTTCCTACTCCATACCTTTATTTAATTAATTTATTCACCTATAAATTTATTCATTCAACCAATGATTAATTATTTCACCAAACATTTCTCAAATACCAAAATGACTGGCTCTGTCAAGTACCATCACGAAATTTATGGCACAAGGGAGAAAAGGAAAAAAGATATACCCTTTTCATTTACAGAGTGCTTCTTGGTTTCCAAAGAGCTTCCACATCCAAGCTCCCATTTGATCTTCTCCAGAGTCCTGAAAGACCAACAGGGCAGGGATTAATCTACATCTCTCACAAGTGAAGAAGTTGAAGCCTAGCAAGGAGAAGTGGGTCATCCAAGGTAATGCCAGCCTGTCTTTCCAATCCAGGGACAATGGTTGCTCTCTCAATTACACTACAGTGTGCCTTCCCTCAGCATGTGCAGGGGATTGGTTCCAGGACTCCCCACAGCATACCAAACTCCCGGTATATTCAAGTGGACTCTGCTAAATACACATGGAGGAAAAGTTGGTCCTCCCTACACATGGGTTTTGCATCTAGCAAATACTAAATTTTCAATCCACTTTTGGCTGAAAAGAATCTGCTGTAAGTGGACCCGCACAGTTCAAACTTGTGTTGTTCAAGTCATGCTTCAGTCACGGCTCACTGTATTCCCTCACTCCTTGCTTTCCAAATTATACCCATTCTTTAAGGCCCAAACACCACCTACTCCATGAAACCTTTTCTGGTAACCCCAGTTAAAATAATTTTTCCTACTTAAACCTAAGACAGTGTTTTATTTTGTCTCTCAAATGGCATTAAAAAAACAAACAAACAAAAACCTCCCTTTCTAAATGCCAATGTCCTTGAGATCAGAACAATACCTGACTCTCCTTTGTGTTTCCCATGGCACTCAGTTGATGGAGTTCATAGTAGAAATTTAATAAAGGACTGAGAAATGAAGGATGATGAGAATTTTACCTGTTTTTAAAGTTTATTCATAAGATAATCAATGAAGGATATAGGTAAAAATAAAAGTTTTAAGACTGTTATCTTTTTTCTCTCTACCTCCACAAATGGGGGTGAGAAGGACTAGCATTAATTAAGTGCTTGCTGGGTGCCAGGTGTTTTATGTTATGGCATTTTTGCCCTCATAACCTAATAGATCAATACAATTGTTATGATTTTCAAGGAGAGGTACTGAAGCTCAGGATTGCTTAGAAATTTGCCCAAGTTCAGACACTGAACTCATGTTAGAGAGGAAGGCAAATCCAATTCCATTTAAACTCTTGTGGCAAAATGAACACATGAAATTACTTCTAATTATACTATGACAATAAGAAATTATCCAGTATTTACCTGTTTAAAAAAGCAATTCACATGCACCAGTAATCTTAAGGTCAACATTTTTTTCTCACCTTTTTACTGCTTTTTTACTGATTTACCACTTGCTGGTTGAATCCTTTGATCCACTGTTTCAAGAAGGAAAACAAATTTCACTACTACCAGACTCTGCTTCTTCATGTGACCAGTTATCACTGGTTGTGAAATGCTGGCCTGAGACTTAGATGTAAATCAGTCTTAATAATTACCATTGTGCCATAACAGAACTTTCCTGTTAGAAGAGTGTGGAAGGTTTGGGGCAAATCCTGGAATGGGTCGGGGGAGGCATAAATACAGAAATGCCTTCATGAATAAGACTAAAAGGAATAATAACTTCAGAAAAAATGAAAAATACATTAAAGCATTGTGTTATATATTTACATATGATAGAGCTGAGAATAATTAGGTAGTTTAGCCAAAGGACTTGGCTAATGAATGTCAGATGGGCTTAATGGAGGCAATTAAAACACAGACAGTATTAGTGAAATGGTGGACTCACCTATAAGGATTCTGCAGCTAACTTCTTCCGAGAGCAGAGGCCTGCAATATCATGAAAACCAAATCAACACATTAACGGTGACCGTCCTCACAAACGTATGAAATGCCAATTTGTATCCCTTCCTCTTACAGGCACTGCAATATCTTCCCTAGTAAAACCTGTCAGTTCCATTGGTAGGGTTTGTTACAAGGTCTTATTTCACCAGCCATTAAGATAGCTAACCTTAAGTCTTGGTAACCTAGCAAACATACATATTCATTAAAAATGACAACAACTTCAAGTAAAGAGGGAATTCCACCAAAAGCTTCCAAAGATTTTGGAACTGCCAGGTGGAACAAAGAGTTTAAAGCACATTTCTAGGCTCTCTGGGGTGGTTGTTTAATTCACAAAAATCACTTCATAGCAATTCTTCTATTTTTTAAACAACTTTCTATTGTTATTCAGCCTCTTAGGTAAAAAGTCATGCTTGAAGAGACAGATGGAATTGGTGAAACTGATAAATCTTTTCTCTAATTCAGTACTGATAATGTTAATGTAATATTGCTTTCAGTAGACAGTTTTCAATCACGCATATACCTATGTTTAGAGATGGGACAAAGCAGGAAGCCTGAGCTTATGGAAACTTAAAGAACACATCACATATTTGATTTTGGTCACTGCCTCTGGGAAAGAATTCAGAAACAACCCTTCAGTCAATGGCAGGTAGGTTCTTAGAAACCTCAGTATTGGGGAATTCATGGTAAGGATGAATAAAGATCCACATACAGAAATGAAACTTACTAATAGATATGCCCATCTAAGAACCAGCTGGAGAGAACTGTCATTTTGCCTGGTCACCAAGGGGCTCTGAAACGATAAAGCTTTGGAAGTAAAATGACAATAACAACAAAATAGCTTATGCTTGCATATTTTCCAAGTAATAAATTGTGTTCTAAATACTTTAATCCTTACAATCACATTATTAGGTAGTTGTTACAATTACCTTCATTTTACAGGAAAAACTTATAAACTTAGAAACAAAAGGTAAATAACTTGTCCCAGGTAACACTGTTTGATATTCATATTGCTATTTCTGATTTGGATATGAACATATTAGGCTGGAAAAAGCTTTGCCATTAAAAAAAAATTCTGTGTGCTTTCTCTTTAAGTATGACTATTTTTAAGCACCACCAAATCATTAGACTTTCATTTTAATTTAATCTAAGGATCTTTCCATTTGAATAGGAAAATTTAAGCCATTTATAATCATCATATTTTTAAGTTTGATTGGACTTAAACTTTCTTTTCTTCAATAGTTCCTTATTGTTTTCTTTCCATTTTGTCTTTTAATGAACTACGTTTGTTTTTTATCTTTGATAATTATTTAGAAAATAGCCTGTTTTCAATTCAACTAGTGCCTACATTAAATTGTCTACAACTATCCTTATATGCATTCTTATTCAATGACTTGAAAATAAAGCAACAATGCTCCTTCTTGTAATGCTTTCATTTCCTTCATCTTCTCTTTCCACATTGTGATCACTAGGTATAGATGCTTTATTTAAAAATGTAAAACTCTACAAAATTATTTTATTGAAACATTGCTCTCTCAGTAAAAAATATCTAGCTATCAGCATCAATTCTCAATTCACTTTGATTTCACTACACTTCACTTATTTTGTCATTGCCTTCAATGCTTAGTATTAATCTTTTTAACTGGAGTTTCTTATTCTTGAGTTTTTATACTATCTCACCTCTCAGTGATCTGGACAATATTTCTCTGCAATTTTTGCAGAAAAGAGTTTCTGTTGTTATATTCTCTGATACCTAGTAGACTTTGTTATTCTGTTGCTTTTATGCATAAGTTGAAAATTGGGTAGCCATACAACTTTTTTTAAATTTTTTTGAAACAGAGTTTCTCTGTTGTTATCCAGACTGGAGTGCAATGTCATGATCTCGGCTCACCGCAACTTCTGCCTTCTGGGTTCAAGCAGTTCTCCTGCCTCAGCCTCCCGAGTAGCTAGGACTACAGGCGGGCACCACCATGCCCAGCTAATTTTTGTATTTTTAGTAGATACGGGGTTTCACCTTGTTGACCAGAATGATCTCGATCTCTTGACCTCGTGATCCACCCACCTCGGTCTCCCAAAGTGCTGGGATTACAGGAGCCACCGCGCCCGGCCTGCCATACAACTTTTTATGGAACAACTCCATTTCTACACAAATAGGTCTAGTTCCAAATATATCATCGTGTTAAAACCAATACTAGCTGATACCATGCAAATGATGTAGCTTAATGTATCACTGGCATTATCCTCCAATTCCATTTATAAAATGTCATTTAGTAGGAGAAGCGATTGAACTCTCATACAGAAATAACCAGAGTTTCTAGTATACTTCAGACTTGTTTCTCTTAAAATTATGTGGACATTTACCTGTGTTCTTTAAAAAGTTCTTGTTCTATATAAGAAAGATGAAGGCAATCTACAAAAGCATATATGTTTTTCCTTCACATGTACTTTAAGAAATTTTCTTTGCCCCAGAAATTTAAAATTTTATTTACTTATGTCTTGCATTTATCTCTATTCCTTAATTTTGCTCCAGAGAAATCTTACAATGTCAATGTAGTTGTTAGATATAAAAAGTTTACTTTTATTATAACTTTAATTTTTACTTCTGATCCATCTTCTCTATTTTTAAAACACTCATTATTTTATTTATAAATTCAAGAAAAGAATGTTTATTTAACAACAATAGAACATACTATATGTTAAGCTATCTCTTTGGGGTAGTGTAACAACAAGATGTTTATTGCCATTAAGTAGCTTATATTCTCAATTAGAATTCCATAATTTGTCATCTAATTACCTCTTATCCATTTAACTCTTTTCATTTCCTTAGATGTTAAGACTAGTTATAAAATTTTCTTCTATCTCTGATTCCTATTTCTGCAAAACAGAAGTTTCATCTACTACATTGTTTCATTTGGTCAATTTTTCATTAATTAAAAACAATATAATGTCTCCTTCTATATTGTTATGATTACATTACTAAGAACGAATATTCATATTATCAAATTGGTATTATAAAAACAATTATTTCAAGGGGAAAGGAGGCTAGGGGGCCAAAGAGTTTCAATAAACAATAAAATAATTTTGGCCAGGCACAGTGGCTCATCCCTCTAATCCCAGCACTTTGGGAGGCCAAAGCAGGCAGATCACCTGAGGTAAAGAGTTCTAGACCAGCTGGCCAACATGGCAAAACCCTGTCTCTACTAAAAATAAAAAAATTAGTCTGGCATGGTGTGGGCACCTGTAATTCCCACTACTCAGGACGTTGTGGCAGGCAGAATTGTTTGAACCCAGGAGGCAGAGGTTGCAGTGAGCCAATATCACACCATTGCATTCTAGTCTGCATGACAGTGCAAGACTCTGTCTCAAAATAATAATAATAATAATAATTTTTGATACAGTAATCTCAACAATAAATGTGTTTCTATATCTCTAAATGTTTTTTAACTAAAATTACAATGAATAAATTGGTCTACAAAAACAAGTATATACAATTCTAAACATTACTGTTCAAGTAATGGAATATTTAAAATGTAAAATCAGATCAGATCTTAGACAAGAAGTTTCCAGGACCATAAAACAAAGACATCTCAGTTTATAACTGCCCACTGTTATAACAATTGTTATAACAATTCTAACACTAATTGAGCAACCAAAAGTATTACAATTTTTTTTTTATGGAACAACTTCATTTATATGTGAATAACTCTAGTTCTAAATATGCCATCATGTTAAAACTAATAATACCTGGTAAAATGCAAATGATGTATCCTAATGTATCAATGGTGTTATCTCCAACTTCATCTATAAAAACCTTAAGAAGTAAAAGTGATTGAACTCTCATTTGGAAACAACCAGAGTTTTTGGTACACTTCATGTATGGGGGGATGTTAATTGCTCCACCTCCAAAAGCTGCAAAGTGACCCCACCACGTGAGAACCCAAGAGGAAAAGAACCCATGCTTTCAGTGTGCCGCCATGAAATTCTCCTTTTCCTGTAAGTTCACAGAGTCAGCTTCTGGAACTTACAACCAGAAAATAAAGGAGAAAACAGAAAAGATCTAAGGAAAAATATTTGTGTAGTGCTAACATATTATAAGTCACCCATGCACAAAGCTCAAGAAGACATCAGAGGGGAAGCTCTTTATGTTTGACCATTAAAATGCAGAAATAAAGTTCTGGCCAGGAGCAATGTTCACTCTGTTAGCAGAGAAAACTCTCAAGATATGCCAACATCAGCAATACAGAAGACCATGTGATAGGGTTTGGCTGTGTCCCCACCCAAATCTCATCTTGAATTCCCACATCTTGTGGGAGGAACCTGGTGGGAGGTAATTGAATCACTGGGGCAATTCTTTCCCGTGTTGTTTTCGTGATAGTGAATAAGTCTCACAAGAAAGAGGAATTCCCCTGCACAAGTTCTCTCTCTTTGCCTGCTGCCATCTATGTAAGACATGACTTGCTCTTTCTTGCCTTCTACCATGATTGTGAGGCTTCCCTAGCCACATGGAACTCTTAAGTCCAATTAAACCTCTTTCTTTTGTAAATTGCCCAGTCTCAGATATATCTTTATCTGCAGTGTGAAAACAGAGTAATACACCACAGGAGCACGTTAGTGAGCAAACTGGAATTGAAGAAGCAGACCCTCCATCCCTCCCAATAACTGAAATATTTTTATTTCTTGTATTTTTACTGTTGATAGTGGTTTTTTTTTCAGATGGTTCTAAAGCTTTAAAAAGTAATTCAGTAGAAGAGTGTTCATAAACTGAAACTCACTTTGTGTCTTTCTAGAAGTCCCCCAAATTGGAATCTTAAAATATGCATATTAGGATAAAAAACAGCTTAAAAACAGTTTTGTTAAATAAGTCTATTTTTTAATTCAATGAATGATTTTAAAAATTAGCTTCATTGTTTTTTAATTTACCATCTGTTAACTCAATAAATATGAGTTCTTAAAGTTATCCTAATTGTCTTGGAATTTGCTGTCTTTGAAGTTGATTAAAATTATTTAAATTAATTTTATTGTATATCCAGACTAGAACAAATCATGTCTGCATTTGAAGAGATCTTGGCTAATAATTTATAAATAAATGTGCCCATTTGTAAAATGAACCATTTTGGTTTATGGCCTTTAATATGTATTAGTCAATATGCAGACATGCAGAGAAGAGATGCTGATATTAGATAATCAAAGAGGTAGAAAACCAACACAACAATAATTGTTGCCATTAAAAACTGTGACCAAATACAAAATTTTTGTGAACTCTTGTCTCATGTCTAATGAAGAGAAAATGTAGAGTGGACATCAACTGTGATATAGTTTGTTTTCACTCTACACTATTAATAGAGAAAAGAAAATGCTATGTTTCTTTAAACACCATGCTGTCTCTGGTCACAGTTTATTGGAATAAGGGTGGTCACTGGACCCAACCAAGCCAATCAGACTCTTCCCTGAGAATTGTGAAAGACAGGAAAATGGTCTTTTCTCAGGGTGGATCGACTGAACCATCAATGGCTCAAGAACAATTGGAAACCATGATTTGCTGTATGAACTGAGGAGCAGGGGAGCTGAATTACTATGAGGAAGAAAGACAAAGATGAGATATGGAGAGAAAGAATTGACTTGGTTCCCTATAGCACTTCAATAGTTCTTCTGTTCTTAAGCCTCTATTGCATCCCGATTTTGGATTGCATGAAAATCCCCAATGTGTGTTGCTTAAGCTCACAGAGTCAGCTTCTATCACTGCACTGCACCCTGGGTGACAGAGTGGGGCCCTGTCTCAAAAACAACAAAACA